TGTGTGTGTGTGTGTGTGTGTGTTGCTATATGTGTGTGTGTGTGTGTGTGTGTGTGTGTTGCTATATGTGTGTGTGTGTTGCCATATGTGTGTGTGTGTGTGTGTGTGTGTGTGTGTGTGTGTGTTGTAAACATACTTCAGTGCTGCAGATGGTTGTCAGTGATTGTTCTATCTCTCACTCTGAGTGTGTGCGTCGATGTTAAACACACACTGCTCTCACTCTGAGGTGTTGATTGGATAAATCTGATATAATTGATACATTCATGATGACATCACACCCCCACACCCCCGCTCCGCTTTAAAAACAAAACAAACTGCTGTCACTGCGTCATAAAGAGCAACACTCTGAGACGACACATGAACACAATCTGTTTGTGTGTGTGTGTTCCTGTGTGTGTGTGTGTGTGTGTGTGTTGGTTGATGGCTGCAGGGGTTGCTGTAAAAGAGTTTCAGTTGAGTAGCTCTTCAGTCAGTCAGCGGGTCAAACAGGAACAAGTCTGCAGCTCAACACTGTGATTCACTGGCAGCTGTAAACATGTTTATTTTAACATAGGGCTCTATGGGGACTGACTCACTGCAGGAGACAGACTCTAGTGGACACTGGAGGAGCTGCAGCTGTAAAGTTGGACATTTTAACATGGGGCTCTATGAGGACTGACTCACTCCAGGAGACAGACTCTCACACACACACAATGTTGAGTGACTCCTAGTTGTTTGGGACTCTGCTCAGGTTCTTATATTAACCTTTGAGGGCTCACCTGTCCTGTTTTGATGACCTCATCATTAAATGCCACTCAACTACCCCTTGCTCCCTCTCTCGCTTTTTGCATCACTCCTCCTCCTTTATCTCTTCCTCTCTCCCCTCCTTCTCCTCCTCCACATATCTCCTTCACCACACTCTCCCCCTTGGTGCCTACCCCCCCCCCCCTAGGTGAGTGACAGGCCCATAAGTGCTCCAATGATAGTGGAGGGAGTGTTAGGGTGACAGCTATCGAGGAGGTGACAGGAGAGGAGAGAGAGAGACGATAGCCATTATTCCCCCCCCCCCCCCGTTTGAGTCACTTTGAACTCGTCCTCTCTCTAAACTCTCTCAGCAGATGGATGGAGGAGATCAGTCTGTTCAGGGATTTTAACTGAAGCTCGGTCCTCTGACACCAGAGTATTTTACATTCATCCCTCTGTGACGCAGCAGATTAAAGACTTCTTGGCTTGGGAAAAGAAAGAAGTGTGTTCAGAGAGAGAGAGAGAGAGAGAGAGAGAGAGAGAGAGAGAGCCCTCATGTTTCTAATAACCTCACTGACCAATAACAACAAGCTTTAAAGTTCTGCAGAGATATGGAACACCAACACATCTGCATTTTTTGCAGATGATTCAAAACCAAGCACCAATACGTAAGTTCCAAAACCTGCAGTTCCTCCAGTGTCCATTAGAGTCTGTCTCCTGCAGTGAGTCAGTCCCCATAGAGCCACATGTTAAAATGTCCAACTTTACAGCTGCACTTTCTCCAGTGTCCATTAGGGGTGTGGCCTCTTTGAGGGTTAGGGTTAGTTAACCCTCGTAGTGACTTGAATGTTATTCTGTGAGAAACATGATGATTAACGAGCTCATTAATCAATTTTCCACAGGTGTAGAGTAATTGGCTTTAATAACTTCCTGGACCTTGCTGACCCCTCCCCCCTCAAGCTCCACCCTCTCTTCCAAATGTGGTCACTTCTGGTTCCATGACAACCAACATGGTTGCAGACAGACTTCTCATGTTGAGTTGTTTGTTTCCTTGTTTTCTAAGACGAACAGAGAGAACATGATGAACGGAGATATTAGAGACTGTAATCGTCTGTCTTAGTGAATCAGAGCTCCAGTGTTCAGCGCTGCTGATCGCTGTGAGGATTCAGAGTTGAGATGAAAACAAACAAAGTTGTTCAGAGTTTGTTCTAACGAGAGACAGAGCTACTGAAGGAAAGTGTGCAGAGCCTCAGGTCCTTAAACGCAGCACAGATTAGTTCTCAGTCCAACAGTTTGGTTAAATGATGTGTTTCTTTCTTTACAGGCACAGCCAGCAGGCGAACACACCTGTGTGTATGTCTGTGTGTGTGTGTGTGTGTGTGTCTGCAGGTGTGACAGTGTGTGTGTGATGGTTTGATGTGTGTACTTTAAGCCTCTGGAAGTTTGAAACATGACAAATGTTTTTATGATTTAAACGTTTGGAGACATTAAACATCCACAAATATCAAATCAATGATCACAACTTTCAGGGAACAAACTTTAAAAACTGCTCGTTCTGTTGTTCAGGTCATGTTTCAGGCAGTGTGGGCGTGGCTTATCCCTGCTTTGCTGACACCTGCTTGGCTCCGCCCACAACCAGGACACGTGACAGTTTTGAGTCGTGTTACAGATCTGAGTCAGAATCATCATCTGTAGATTTGGTGTAAGACATTTATCGTGGAATTGTTGCTTTGATGTCACGTAATCACGAGAAAACCATTAAAAACAGTGTAGTACACATGCCAGGCCAGTGGGTGGCCCTGAGACTCTGTAATGAACAGGAGCATGCTCACATCACACTCCTACAGAGCGCTGCGGTGTAAACATACAAACATGACTAACACACTAATGTTTGTGTGAAGGGACGCTGAGGTGTGGATGTGTGAGAACATTTAAAGGAAAGGTCGACTAGGGGTCATGACAGTCCGCCATAGTTGTTGTAGTCCACCTACCTGCTCATGGCTTTGACAGGACGCGTACTGAGCATGTGTGAAAATTCTCCGTTCTCAGAGGAGCTGCATATTTACAGTTTTTACACGACTACAGAGACGGGGCCGTTTTCAAAAGTTTGAACTCAAGAACTCGTTTTTTCAGGCCCCAAAAACGTTGTCCTCGTGTAAACAAGAACTTAACCGCCACAATCAGTTCAACCCGATATCAGGACATGAACTATTTTAGAAGCTCACTGTTTTTTACATTAAATCATGTAGTTTGAAATCTGTCGTGGATTTTTCTAAAAAATATAGAAACATATATAAACAAATATAAATATAAACATAAAGCCATATGGCTCTAATGTGTTTGTGAGGAAGTGTTTGTTAACATGTTCAATCAGTCGTTTACCCTCAGAATCAAAGACTGTGTGTGTGTGTGTGTGTGTCTGTGTGTGTGTGTGTGTGTGTGTGTGTGTGTCTGTGTGTGTGTGTGTGTGTGTGTGTCTGTGTGTGTGTGTGTATGTGTGTGTGTGTGTGTGTGTGTGTGTGTGTGTGTGTGTGTGTGTGTGTGTGTGTGTGTGTGTGTCTGTGTGTGTGTGTGTGTGTGTGTGTGTCTGTGTGTGTGTGTGTGTGTGTGTGTGTGTGTGTGTGTGTGTGTGTGTGTTAGCTCTGGGGTCAGATGTGTTTTGACGGTGCTCTCTCAGTAATTGGTTCCTTTTCCTGCAGAAAACCAATTTTACCAGCCAATCAATTTAAATTCAGCTCAGAGCAGCTTTAACCCCTCGCTGCGTGTCCGATCACTGACTGATAATCACACACACACATACACACATACACACACACACACACACACACACACACACACACACACACACTGGAGATCCCTGTTAATCACAGAGGAGGAGATGTTGATGAAGACATGGCTGTCAGGTTAGCTTAGCCACAATGCTAACTCTCTCCTTAGCATCAATGAGATTATCAGCTGATTGGTTTCTTTGAGCTTCAGAGAAAACATCACAGCTGGAATTTGCGAGGCCGTCTGTCCTTGTTTTATCCCCTAGTGTGAGAGAGAGTCTGCTTTCTGTATGAGCTGGACAGTTCTGAGAGTCAGCTACACGAGACCCCGCCCTAACCTTTTCTCCCACTTCCCCCCCTCTCCCCCACTCTCTCTCTCCCCCGCGCTCTCTCTCCCCCTCTTCCCCCTCTCTCTCCTGAGTGCAGAGGGAGGACGTGCAGAATGATAAAGTGTTCAGAGTTTCCTGCAGACTCAAAGACAAAGAATGAACGTTACTGTAAAATAAAAATGTTTTTATTTTAATCTTTTATTGTCATTATTGTCTGAGTCAAAACACACACACACACACACACACACACACACACACACACACACACACACACACACACACACACACACACACAAAGCTGAGCCTCAGCATTTTAACACAATAATGAATTATAATTAGTGCTGTGAAGATCATCCTGTAAAGGATGCAGAAACATCCTGAGCTCAGTAATTTATAACCATCTGCTGCAAACATTTATCATCTAAACACACACACACAAACACACACACACACACACACACACACACACACACACACACACACACACACACACACACAACAATGATCTATGTAATGTGAGTGCAGAGGGCTGTTTCATGAAGCTGCTTCTGAACTGTCTCTGTTAACCCTTTCTGCTCCAGGCTCTCCAGGCTCTCGGCCATTGTTGTTGTAGTCCACCTGCTCCCTCATGGCTCAACACTGGCCGCATACTGAGCATGTGCAGAACGTCTCTGTTCTCAGAATAACTACATATTTCAATTTTAAATGACGGCGGAGACGCTGCTGTTTTAAAAACTTTGTGTGATCAGTCACCAAAACGTCAGCGTCGAGTAAACGAACAGAAACAACATAACTAAAGTGTGATGTGAGCTGGGCCGTAGAACTGCAGGTGTGTGTGTCAGCTGTTTCCCTCCCGTCTCCTTTAAAGAATTAATTCCTGTGTATGTGCATGGACCTCGGGAGCTCCAGAATGAAGATGTTCATCGTCAGACGTGCAGACAGAGAGACGGTCTCCCAGACAACAGGTGAGTGTGGTGGAATCTCTGTAGTTATTTAGATTATAATGTACAGATGTCATTATGTTTATTCACTGTTCTCTAATGTCAGTCAGACCTGACAGAGTTCAGTTGTGACTAGAACACCAAGCACAGCGTAGAGAGTGTCAACTGTCTTTCCTCATATCTGCAAGGATGTTTGGTAGACTTGTTGTCTGCTCCAGTGTTTTAGACGTCACAGAATAGTTTAGGTGGGTCAATGTGAACACCCCATAAAAACACCCCTAGTGTTTAAAATGGGTACTGCAGTCTGAAATTCGAAACATGGTAGAGAGTTGTCTCCCCCCGCCCCCCCTCCTCTCTAGAGTCAATGCTCACACAGGTCACCATGTGGTGGACACTGAAGCTTCAGTGTTTATCCAGCTCTGCATCGGTCTGTAAACCTTTCTGTGTTCTAACCTCTCTCCATTTTTCAAAAGCATCTCCAATATTGATCCTAGTTTGGGTGAGAACAAATTAAGTCTCTCTCTCACACACACACACACACACACACACACACACACACACACACACACACACACACACACACACACACACACACACACACACACACACACACACACACACACACACACACAGAGATATGGCGTTTTATCCTGGCCATGAATCTCCACTTCATCAGCTCGCTCTATAACCAGTATTGATCTCACTCTGTGCTGTTTGGACCTGCTGGGTGAGGATTGTGGCTTTTTGTCTCTGACTCATGAATAATAATCACAATCTTTAGAGGTCATTTCACCTTCTTTTAAAGCCACTGGAAGAAATATCGCAATAACACATATCCCAAAAATTGTTCAGTCTTATTAAGCAACTTGAAAAAAATCTGAGGGACTGTTTAGACTCTAAACAAACCTTAAAAATAAAACGAAAAAAACGGTAATTATTTAGACTGTCTCTCAAGACTGTGTGGGTGTGGCTGATCACAATTTGATTGACATCTCCCTGACTCCGCCCACAACAACTGGTCATGGTCTAATCAGCTTTGAGCAGCTTTAAATGTTGGTGAGGTCTGAGTCAGAATCAGAGGAAAAAGCTGAGAGTTATTCATAAACTCCTGATGAAAGGTAAGTTACTGAAGGCTAACTACAGTACATTAACAGTTAGCATACTCATGCTAGGTTAGCCAAGATGATCCTTTTTTTCCTCAAAGCTATGAATGATTATAGCTCTACTTTTCAGCTCAGAAGTCAACGCCTGCAGTCTAAAGAGAGAACTGAAGTTTACACTGATCCTCTGTGTGTGTTAAAGGTCCAATCAGTGAGATGTGTAGAGAGTGAAATGATAAAGTGACCTTACTATATGATCAGACATTAAGGAAACATACTATGTTGAAGTGCTGGCTTCTCTGACAACAATGCAGCAGCCAGTATGTCCTCCTTCTAACTTTAGATTCTGCTCCTGAATGCTCTGGATTTGTTTGGACCAGAGAAGGTAGGCAGTTTTAAGGCACCCCCACACGGCCGTTTTGGACGCCCCTCGGTTTGCCAGATATGAGAGCAGTTATCAGGTCAAACCAACAGGTGTTGCAGCGATGGAAGCGGGCAAGAGAAGTGGTTCAGATAGAAGTGATTGTACCCGACCTAAAAAGCATCTGCATGTTTCTAATAAGCTCTACGAGCAGAAACGTGCTCAAACTAGGATCAATATTGGAGATGCTTTTGAAAAATGGAGAGAGGTTAGAACACAGAAAGGTTTACAGACCGATGCAGAACTGGCTAAACACTGAAGCTTCAGTGTCCACCACATGGCAACCTGCATGAGCATCGACTCTAGAGAGGAGGGGGGGAGACAGCTCTCTACAATTCTTTATTGTATTGAATTTAGCCATTTTAAACACTAGGGGTCAGTGTTACATACTGCTCCTTTAAGAGTATAATGTGTGAAATTATTTTCATGAATCTTTCTTAAATCTGAATAAACTCTGTGTAAATGTATAGTGAAGTCAAGTTTGTTTTTCTCAGCTCTGTGTTCACACTGAGGGGGCGGAGCTTCCTTCAGCTTTTTTATGTTTCACTCATTATCATCACCATCTGCAGATCGAATGGAGTTTGGAGGTTTGTTCCACCACCGGGGGGCGACAGAGGAGAAGAGTCTAGTTAGCGTCTTAGGACCCTGTTGTGAAGGTTGGATCAGACGCCTTTCATTGGCAGAGCGTAGTGGGCGGGAGGGAGTGTAGACCTGGATCAGAGAGTTTAGGTAAGGAGGAGACGTTTCTGTGTCTGTTTTGTAAGCGAGCAGCAGAGTTTTAAATTTGATGTGAGCAGTAACTGGGACCGAAAACAAATGTAACGCCACCCCCGGCTTTCAGTCAAATGAAACAGGAGAACCAGATGATTTACACATACTCCGTGTGTGCCGCGGTCCATCAGCGCCACAGTTTTGTTCTGTCGGACGGCGCGCGCCCATTCACTTTGGATCCGTTTCTGGAACGTTATCGCACCCATGATCAGCTGTTCACACATCACAGGAGAACTACAAGATCCCGCGGAAATAAAGAGAACAAGGTGTAAACAACATGTCTCATTGTCTTTCTAAAGATGGTTTGGTGTTCTTTCTGTTTTGACGTCATGTTGATAAAATAATGAAAAATACGATAGTCAGTCCGTATGTTGTGTTTTATATTGAAATTGACCGGATGCTTTGTGCAATTCCTTGTCTGACTCAGGGCTGTCATATTCTGTCCAGCTTGACGCATGCCTGCAGCGTACTCTGGCGAAAATAGACTCGCAGCGTATTTGAAACGGAGCGCCTGAGACGGACTGCAGCGCGCGCTGTGTGAACATAATGATAGACTTGAGTGACAGCTAAGTACCGCATAGTGTGAATTCGGGGTAAGATGATGCAATTTGTCAAATCTGGCCATGTTTAATGTGTGTCACAGGAGTCTGAACCAGGTCAGGTCTTCCTCATGTAGTTCAGGACAGATCCACATTAAATGTCATGACCCCCGGGTTACCTTTGTTGTAACTCACCATTATCCTGAGCAGCGATGTTCCAGGCGGCGTGTTCTCAGGGAGGCTGATGTTGTAGAGCGGTCGGCTGAAGATCGGGCGGTTATCATTCTCGTTGATTAACTCGATGAAGACTCGAGCAAAACCCACGTGGTCGGACATGGACTCGTTGGCATATAGCTGAGAGCAGACGACAGACAAGCAGGTTTTAGAATCAGTGAACATTCATCATATCTACTGAAACGTAAAGTTGTCTGCTGAGCTGCAGCTCAACGAGTTCTGTCTCATCTGAAACAGCGTGCAGGGCGGCGTCTGCTCCAGTAACACGAGGTGAAGAAATACTCATTTCGCTGTCCAAACAGTCTCATCAGCGTGACGGAGCCTCCAGTCCAAACAAATAAAAACAAGAAAGTATGAAATATAATGAAGCTTCAATCACGCTGAGACATCAGAGCAGACAAACATCATCACGTCGCTGTGTTCACAAAGTCGCCTTTATGATGATTTCAAATGTTTTCTTCCTGCAGCGATTGGGACTTAAATGACGTCAACATGAATTCAACTCTGAAATAATAACAAAAACTCAAGAAGTTTAATTCTCACTGAGAAGCTGTAGCTGCGGATGTTTTCAAAGTCGAGGGGCGTGGCCACCCGTATCCTGATGTCTGCACGGCCCTGCACCGCCGTGGGCGAGATGGTGAAGTACTCCGAGTTGTTACCCGTCAGAAAAACCTGAAACATGCTGTTCACGCCCTGCAGAGAGAGAGAGAGAGAGAGAGAGAGAGAGAGAGAGAGAGAGAGAGAGAGAGAGAGAGAGTGAGAGAGAGAGAGAGAGAGAGACAGAGAGAGAGAAGGTTTATTTAGAAAGAGCAGGTGGTGATACATCCTTTGACCTTTGACCTTCTTCAGTTCATTCATCAAAGTGATGTCAAACTACAAATCACACATTAATAAACATTCAGTCAGTGACATGAGGTCACGTAGAGTTATCGTCCCACACATTCACCTGTGCAGGTGTGTAGCTCTGTATTAGGAGTAAATGTTCCCAGGTGGTATCAGACACACCTGACCCTGAGCTCTGATGTAGAAACACTGAGCGGCTGTATTACAGCATGTCCACCTTACTGCTGTGTGCTGGGTGTATATGCTGCAGCTCATCCTGAAGCCGGGTGAACGGGTTAGACCCGATGTTTGAGTCCCATGACTGATCACCTGATGTCGTGAAGTGTACGGGGGGGGGGGGGAAGGACCACGGTCCAATCAGCTCCTCCCCGCTGATTGGATCAGTTTAAGTTGTGTGACTGCACACACTCACACAGTGAGAGCAGAGCCAAAGTCTGAAATCACCATGGCAACCGCAGGCATGCATGTGTGATGTCTCTTCTCTCTCCTCTCACCAGAGACGTGAAGGAGAGTTTTTCCTGGATGAATCTGCAGACCTCCAGCTGACAGGGTGACGAGCACATGGCGAGCAGCTTCAATACGAGGATGATTATTACGTCTGTAAACAAACAGGAGATCTCGATCTCATGAAGGTAAAAAATAATCAAATGTGTTCATGTCTGGAAGAACAAACAGCATTTATTCCTGCAGGCTCTACAGACGTGTTCTCTCTCTCTGAAACCACCTGTAGGAGCAGAGCATCAAACCTGAGCTCAGTGACAGTGACATGAAGAGCCGTGATCGACCTGTACCCGGGCTCGCTCGCTCGCTCTCTCTCCCTCTGTGTGTGTGTGCAGATGGAAAGCTGCAGGGCGTGGATCTGCAGCAGACAGGAGGACGGCTCGCTGCTCGCTGACATTATTCTGCCGATGAAATGGCCTCTGTGTTTTTGTTTTCCTCTCTCAGGGAGCCATCGAGGATGATGACTCCTATTTAAAAGACCATCCAATATGCAGGGATGTCACCTCAAACTGCCCATAAACGTAATTGCCCGTCCATTTGCTTCTGCCTCTAAAGCCCCCAATAAAAGCTGCTGTCACAGACGGCCGCCTCAAACTTTAGAGAAGAAGAAAGTTTTTACAGGAGGTAATCAGAGCAGAAGACGAGACGCAGGCAGCGACGGGCAGAGAGCAGGTAACTACCACCTGTGTGACAGAGAGAGGGAGGTAATCCCTGTGTGTGTGTGTGTGTGTGTGTGTGTGTGTGTGTGTGAGAGATTACAGCACAGGTGTAGCAGACTGTGAATGAGTGTATCAGCTCTGACACACAGGATCAAACTGAAATAGTAAAAACATCTCTCAGATTTGACTCCTGAGGCGGATGGATATGAGACACCACGCTTCACGGAGCAGATACTTTCACATCTTCTCACTCTGTAATCCTGATTCTTCAGTTTGTGTTTCTTCTGTTGTGACATCACAAAGGAGCATTCAGCTGCTCATCGACGCGCTCTGACGGAGCTCAATACGGATGAACACACCACAGCATCACACGTCTGAACTCTCAGAGAGACTCGGGGTCTCCTCATACTGACGCTGTTGAGGGGCATCACCTGAGGTCAGAGGTCAGATCGTACATCCCACTTTTTACTTTGAGACCGAGACAACATTAAAAAGTTTAACTGCAGGAGACGAAAAATAACAACAATCTGGGGGGTATCACCACCAGGGTCTAGACTCCATCAGGCTGGTATCACCTCCACCACCAGGGTCTAGACTCCATCAGGGGCGTGTCCTATCCTGCTATCTGCCTCACAACCCCTCTGAGTCTAACATTAATTATTTATCTTTTCCTAAACTGTGAAATAAATAACTGTAAACTCTTACTTCAGTCCGTCCTGATTGAAAAACCTGTATCTGTTCTTCTACTGGAGTAAAGATGTGTGTACTCTGGCTCACCTGAGTGTCTCACCTGAGTGTCCCTCCTCAGACTGAAAAGACAGATTCTCATGTTCTCTCTCTCTCTCTCTCTCTCTCTCTCTGCTTCAATTATTCAGACTTTAAGTTTTTTTTGCTTCATTGCAGCGACTTTCTGTTCAAACATTTCCCTCCCTCACTCTCCTCCTCCTCCTCATTGTGTGTATGCCTGTGTCTCTCTCTCTCTCAGTTATCTGTCACTCTCCCCTTGGCGGAGGTGGCGGCGGCGGGGGCTCTGCCTGAATCAATCAGAGTTGACTAGCTCTCTGCTTATCTCCACTCCAGGTGATTGATTTTCCTCGTTAGGTATAATTTGACGCTCTATCCCGTCTCTTCCAGAGCAAATTAAATTGTAGTCCGGTCCAAAGTGCTGCTGTGAGCGAGCAAGTGAGCGAGTGAGGGAGAGAAAGTGGAAAAGTGTTTGACTTTTGTGTCTGTCTGTGTGTGTGTGTGTGTGTGTGTGTGTGTAGTAACACGAGTTTCACAGAAAGTTGATAGATACAGCTAATAGAGCGAACTAAAACATGCTGTTGTACATCACTGCTAACACACACACTCACACACACACTCACACACACACAGTGTATGTGAGTTTCCACTGCAGGACCTGTCACAGACTGTAGGAGGAACTTAAAATCAGCTTTGACTCCGTCGTCTCAACACAGATGTGACATCACCTGTCCCAGCTGTGATCACGTGACCTCTCACCTCGTCCTTGTCCTCGGCCTGGATGAAGAGCGGCAGAGCGAAGCCCACCTGGGCCAGCTCGGTGATCCGCACCCTGTACTCTGAGCTGTTGAACTTGGGAGCGTTGTCGTTTTTATCGATGAGCAGGACCGTGAAGGTGGTCATCACTGTGGCGTCTGACGGGCTCCGATCATCCTTCAGCTCTGTGGCCTGACAGAGAGAGAGAAACCAACAGACTCAGGTTAATAACAGAGTCCTCATGGCAACCTGACGAGGACTCCACAGGTGAGGTACAGACAGGTGTGACTATAAAAAAATCTGAGAAACATTTCCTGTCCTGTGAACAGCTGATGTCTAAATATACACAGGAAAGTTTCTTACTTTCCCTCCTCGGACTATCAGAAGCAGAAAGACCGAAAAATATCGGCCCTGGTTCTTATATACAGGCTGCTGCTACAGGCAGCTGCTGCTACAGCTGCTACAGGCTGCTGTAGCTGCTGCTACAGCAGCCTGTAGCAGCAGCTGCCTGTAGCAGCAGCCTGTAGCAGCAGCCTGAAGCAGCAGCCTGTAGCAGCAGCTGTGTGTAGCAGCAGCCTGTAGCAGCAGCCTGAAGCAGCAGCTGCGTGTAGCAGCAGCGTGGTAGCAGCAGCGTGTAGCTGCAGGGTGAAGCAGCAGCGTGTAGCAGCAGCCTGTAGCAGCAGCCTGTAGCAGCAGCCTGTAGCAGCAGCTGCGTGTAGCAGCAGGGTGGAGCAGCATCGTGTAGCAGCAGCATGCAGCAGCAGAGTGGAGCAGCAGCTGAATTGGACTGGCCTTTAACTTCCTTGTTATTGAGGGCTGAGAACAAAAGCCATCCAAAAGGATATTGTACTCTTTCAGCATGTTGTAATAAATCTCCATTTAGGGCTAGACTGTTCCCGAAGCTGCAGGTTGTACTCTGAATATTCACTCGTTCTTTTTGGTCAACTAAAACTCCCCAGAAAGTCCTGACACCAGGTCACGCTCAGAGTCTAGACTTTCTCTGATCCAGTTTGTAGAATAATGACAGCCGAGCAGAGAGAGGGAGAGAGAGAGAGAGAGAGAGAGAGGGATGAGTTGAGAGGGCGAGAGAGAGAGAGAGCGAGGGATGAGTTGAGAGGGCGAGAGAGAGAGAGAGAGAGAGAGAGAGAGAGAGAGAGAGAGAGAGGGATGAGTTGAGAGGGCGAGAGAGAGAGAGGGCGAGAGAGAGAGAGAGAGAGAGAGGGATGAGTTGAGAGGGCGAGAGAGAGAGAGAGAGAGAGAGGGATGAGTTGAGAGGGCGAGAGAGAGAGAGAGAGAGGGCGAGAGAGAGAGAGAGAGAGAGAGAGAGAGAGAGAGAGAAGCTGAGAGGTGTCTGATTGAACACTAAGTGATTTCTGTGATGGAGGTGTTCAGCAGGTATTTACAGGTGTTCTTTTATTGGATCAGACGGCTGCAGGCAATCATAGAAACAGGTTTAAAGAGAGGGCAGGAGAGGGCACGCGCATTACACACACACACACACACACACACACACACACACACACACAGAAAGAGATGGGGGGGTTTGTGGAGCAGATTTTTTCACTGTTATTGACAGACGAGCGTCGCAGGAGGACGGGAACCTTCAGGAATAACATGATGGTTTCTGGGTAATCACGCTAGTTTAGCCTCTCTCGTCCCGACGCCGTTGAATCATTTGACCCCCCCCACCCTCTCGCTCAGCGCCGCCTGAAGTTGAGAAATTAGTTTTATTACGACGGAGCTCCACAATCAATAGACGCAGCACCTGAGAAAGAACACGCAGGGGAAAATCCATACCTTATAAATACTATTTTAGGAGACAGCTTGTGGTTTTCAGCACGTATTCTACTTTTTCATGTAATTATTGATTTCAATTAAAGAGACAGACGGAGGCTGGAATATGTAACACACTATCTTTTTCTTTTATCAGAGTCACAGCGTATCTCTGCTGAGAGAAGTCTTCTGCTGTTTTTAAGCTGCTTCATGATGGAGTAATATTTAGATTTGAATCATTTAAATGTTTAGAGATCGATCGTCCTTGTTGGTTGTATTAAATCATGTTTTCATGTTTTAGTTTAGTTTTCATCCACATGAATTGAATGAAACTATCAGTAAACATGAGAGCGTCAACGAGGACTTCAGCGGCTCCTGAAGGTCGTTTTCTGTCCCGTACAGGTGAAACTGATTGGACAGGACACGCCTGTGAAGTCCACACAGTCACTTCTGAACATGGAGCTCTTTGAGGGTAAATTCGGCCACTTTCTGCTGATCTGAAAATCCATTTCACGCCCCTCCTCACACCCTGCGGGAATCAGCTCCTGTTCTGCACTGGAGGAGGAGAAATGATGGAAAAGGGAGGAGGTGGAGGAATGGACATGGAGGTTTGGACTGAAGGGAGACAGACTGTAGATTTAGTGGCCGGACTCTGAAGCGGCTTCAAACAGGAGACAGAAGCAAATGAGGGGGGGGGGGGGGTAAATCTCCTGTTTCATGTCCCTTCAGAGCCTCTGACTGGACATTTACACTAAATGAGTCGACGTACCCAAAGGAAGCTTCACTTCCTGAACTTTAACAACCCCTTCATTTGAGCCTAATGCCTCAAACTAAACCAGTGCTTTATTTCTCTGCTCCAGGACCATGAATAGACCGACTCTGCACTCTGATCCTGCAACCTTTAAGTCCGTGGTGTCAGGTAAGCCCATGAGGGCCGGGTATATAAATGTATGTACGACCCAAAAACAAAGAGCTTGGGGTGTCAGAGTTTTTTGAAAGAGTCCAAAGATGGGGCATTGTGTATGTCGGGGAGGGGGTTCCAGAAGGTGGGGACTGTGACACTGAAGGCCCTGTTGCGAGGGGAACAGTCTTGCTATATTACATTAATACATTATTTTAAAAAACACCATCAATTACTGGTTCTATACCGACCTGTTAGCTCGGACCAGTACCAGGTCCCAGTCTGATGACCTGTTAGCTAGGATCAGTATGCGTATCCTCCTGATGAGGTTTTGTTTAAAGTCTGAGTTTAGGATTTGTCAGCTGTGCTCTTAAATTGTTTGTTTTTTAGTTTGGTTTGATGAATCTCAAGAATTCCGAAGAAAAACTCAGAAATGATTTTGCGTCACAACATTGAGTGAATTTCTTATGTAGGTTGGAAACTCTTATGTTTCTGTTATTGGCTGTGCTCACATCACATTTGTGTTGGTCTGTCGACTTTGTTTATAAATGCGTCACACATCTAATTTGCTGCGTGACCAGAGGCCTGATCATTCACCTTAAACCAGATGATTTCAAAGACGTGAGAGTAATAAAAGAGCAGTGTTAGACTGAACCCTCCTGATGTGTTCTTGTTGTAGTCCTTGTTTGTTGGAGTTAGGTGAGGTGTGTCTGCTGCTCTGTCTCTGGGTGTATATGGACATTTAAGGTGTTTAAGGTCTGACCAAACCCCTCAGACTGATGGATTTATCAACCAAAGCTCTCTCTTGATCCTCTGATCAATCACACATCTCTCTCTAAACCAATCAGATCGTCCCGTTCAGAGCTTCCCGTTCAGAGACTCACCTTCACGGTGAGCGTGAATCCTGCAGAGTACAGCGGGTTCTCTCTGTCCAGCTGCCCGTTCACCGTCAGAGAGCCGCTGATGTAGTCCAACACGAACACGCTGTTAGTGTTACCTGTAAGAGAGAGAGAGAGAGAGAGAGAGGAAAGGGAAAGGGGGGGAGGAAAAGTTAGTGGGCACACTGGGCTGGTTTTGTGTATTATTCTCTCTGTCTCTCTCTCTCCCTCTCTCTCTCTCTTTCAGCTGACAGTGTGAGCTCACACAGTGTGTGTGACTAAAACGGGATCATCTGTGGATTATCACTGAGCTGACATCAACGCTGAAATCATTTCTGTAAACTAAATATGTGAATATAAAACAACACAAACAGAATATTTCCGGCCGAGGAAAAAGAAGAGGAAGGGACAAAAACTGGAGGCCACACCGTAACTCCTCCCCTCTTCCTGATCTCTTAAATGGGACCATTAAGCCTGTTTCCACCAAGCGATCCGGTATGGTTCAGTACAGTTCAGTACATTTTGTAATGGGAAAATAGCTAGACATCATAGCAGCAAGACGTAGTGTATCCTGCTAATAAATTCAACGAAGAAGAAAGCGACACAGTAAACAAAGTTTACAGCTGACTACAACTCCTAAGCTACATCACAGCAGCAAGCAGAGGAAGGAAACTAAAGTTTACTGCTGCAGAGCTCAGTTAGCTGCTCGGCTAACGGTACTATCAGCTGGCTGTGCTCACTGTACAGCTCTAAGGACAGTGTGTTGGGTTAGCTCTGTTAGCCATGCAGCTAGCTCCGTTAGCCATGCAGCTAGCTCTATTAGCCCTGCAGCTAGCTCTGTTAGCCCTGCAGGTAGCTCCAGGTAGCCCTGACAGAACCTCCGCTCTGCTCTCTCATCCAGGCCAGACTGTCTCTAATCTCACATCTACTGAAACTTTCACCTTACTCTTGTTGTCAAACTAAGTAATTTCCTGTCCGAACAATAAATCCACTTGCTCGTCTTATTGTAAATATGAACTCTAACATCTGTGAATCCCACGTGAACATCCACATTATTCTTCAGTAAGTGTGTCAGATGCTGACCTCACTGTGAGATTAGACTGACACTGTCTCAGGTGGGTGATGATAAAAAACTGCCTTGCAGGTGGGTGATAATAGACATAATAGTGTGTAATAGCGGAGGTGTGACCCGCACAGGAACAGGGTTCAGGACTGTTAGTCCACAGTCACAACAGCTCAGGTCAACGGATTAACCCGTGAGACTGCTCACCGCTCACTGCTCCTTTATTACTCTAAGATACTACACAGTATCTTAGAGGAGGAGAGGAGAGGAGGGGAGGGGAGAGAAGAAAAGGGGAGAGGAGAGGATGGGAGAGGAGAGGAGAGGAGAGGAGAGGAGAGGATGGGAGAGGAGAGGAGAGGAGAGGAGAGGAGAGGAGAGGAGGGGAGAGGAGAGGAGAGGAGAGGAGAGGAGAGGAGAGGAGAGGATGGGAGAGGAGAGGAGAGGAAAGTCAGCAAAGAGGTAATCCTGATGGAGGTCAAAAGGTGAATAAAGGACAAAGCTTCATCTGATTGTATTCACTGTAAGGACACGCACGCACGCACGCGCGCACACACACACACACACACACACACACACACACACACACACACACACACACACACACACACACACACACACACACACACACACACAGGGTTATTTCAAATTAAAGCCCTTTTAAAACATGCTCTCCTGACAATTTTTAGATAACTTCAGGAGGACTCCTCTGGACAGCCTCCTCACCTGGCTGTGAAAAATCTGATCTTTGTTTCAGCCCACAGAGCTGAGACTCTCTGAGCTCATCAGGACTCATCATTATCTGATCAGCTTCAGTGGACTGAAGGACAACAGTCCACTCCAACAGACGCTACAGACCTGGACTACTGCACTTCACCTGGACACAGACACACAGACACACACACGCACACGCGCGCACGCACACGCGCACACGCACACGCACACACACACACACACACACACACACACACACACACACACAGACACACGCACACGCACACGCACACACACACACACACACACACACACACACAACACACACACACACACAGAGACACACACAGACACACACACACTGAGGGGAAACATAATGAGGCTCCAACTGCCGATGGAGAGTGTTTCAGGTGATCTGTCAGGATTCTGAGATTGGACCCTCGGGAGGTGAATAAACACACACACATGCACATACACAGACACACACACACACACACACACACACACACACACACACACACACACACACACACACACACACACACACACACACACACACACACAGACAAATTGCGTGAGTGTGTGTGTGTCTGTGTGTGACTGTGTGTATGTGTGTGTGTGTGTGTGTGTGTGTGTGTGTGACTGTGTGTGACTGTGTGTGACTGTGCGTGACTGTGTGTGTGTGTGTGTGTGTGTGTGTGACTGTGTGTGACTGTGTGTGTGTGCTGTGTGTGTGTGTGTGTGTGTGTGTGTGTGTGTGTGTGTGTGCGTGCAGCACTAACAGGCACAGTTTGATTCCGTGATGTGAGACTTCGGGGGATTAGCCAGGCTCGCACATTACCGACAGAAGTGGACTGGAAAATGAGAAACCACGTTGTGATGTTGTCTAATGCACAAACACACACAGACACACACACAGACACACACACGCATACATAAACAGTCATTATTTCCTGATGGTGCTAACATCCTCCGTGCAGCTTTGAGTCGTCACTTTATCGAAGAGTTTTAAACTTCGATATGATTACAGTAAAATCCAAACGATATCGATACCTGCTTGTTACCACGGCAACAACAGCAGAAGTCCAAGGTACCTGATGTTGGGTGCAGGCAAACTCCTGCACACTGTCTAAATTGTTCAACTATGTTGGACATATGTGTTTTATGTTCACTCTCTTTCTCCCTGCAGATTTGATTAGAAATCGTTCTAAATCACAAAAACAGGAAACGTGTGCGTTCTTCAATGTGTACAGGACGGTGTGCGACTTAGTGAGGAACTACAAGAAGACAGTTATTCAAATAATCAATCAATCAATTTTTATTTGTATAGCGTCAACTCATAATAAGTGTTATCTCGAGACACTTTTCAAAAAGCAGGTAAAAGACCTTACTCTTATAATGAACCTCTTAGACACATCAAAAACACACACAGACACACTCACACTCACACACACACACACACACACACACACACACACACACAGAGGACATGCTGACTGTAGGCAGTCATGCATATGTGTGTGGTTGTGTGTAGTGATTTTCCAGGAGCAGAGAAAAAAATGCTGGTGTATGTATGTGACATGTTGTGTGTGTGTGTGTGTGTGTGTGTGTGTGTGTGTGTGTGTGTGTGTGTGTGTGTGTGAGTTGTTGAGTTGGACGTCGACAGGTCGAGACAATGACTGTGAGCCAGCGTCGAGGAGTTCTGGTTGTAATCGCCGTGACTAAACCACTGACGAGTGTTTTCTGCTGTTTGTGACATGGCGGGGGCGACACAACGCTCGAGTAATGTGAGGCGGCACGCAGCCAGCGCTCCGTGGCCAGGGGGGGAGATTTTGTGTACTTTACCAAATGTACACAAATTAGTGTCACTTCTGAGGATTATGCCTCCGGGCGCTTCAGGACGAAGAAGACGAGGAGGAGTAGGAGGAGGAGGTTCACTTTTCCGTTATAAAAGAAGCCCCTCACACTCCTCACTGTGTGCGTGTGTGCATGTGCGTGTGTGATAATGGCCCTGTGGCTGTCTCGCCGTTGGCAGACGTGCTGCATTTCATGAATACTGAAACTGTTCCATCAAAAGTTTTTCTGCAAACAGGTTCAAGGACAAAAAATCAAACAGGAACATGTTGATGTTTGTTTGTGTGTGTGTGTGTGTGTGTGTGTGTGAGTGTGTGTGTGAGTGTGTGTGTGTGTGTGTGTGTGTGTACGGGTGTGTGTGTGTGTGTTTCTGATTTCTCTGCAAATCTCTCAATCAATGTTGTTGCCGAAGCTGTGGATGTTTCAACCAATAGGAAAACATCACTAATGCACCACGAGTCAAAGCTCAACACTGATTGGTCTGTTCATGTGTCAATCATTCTCAGGGTTGCAGCTGTTGCTAAGCTAGCCTAGCTTATCATGCTAACAGGACCTGCTGCGTAACCACAGGTAGGCGAGCTGTCAGACTGAACAGGAAGTCAGTGTTTTCCAAAGAGCTCCAGGAGAGGTACAGAAAACTGTTATGAATGACTGTGGCTCTTCAGATCCCCTCCAGGTCCTCAGGGACATCCTGTTTCACCTCCAGGTCCATCTTGGGTTTCAGCCCTCCAGGTCCTCGGGGACATCCTGGGTTTCAGCCCTCCAGGTCCTCGGGGACATCCCGGGTTTCGGCCCTCCAGGTCCTCGGGGACATCCCGGGTTTCAGCCCTCCAGGTCCTCGGGGACATCCTGGGTTTCGGCCCTCCAGGTCCTCGGGGACATCCTGGGTTTCGGCCCTCCAGGTCCTCGGGGACATCCCGGGTTTCGGCCCTTCAGGTTCTCGGGGACATCCCCCATCTCCTACCAGGAACATGAACTTAATGATTATTCTCGAGGGCAGCAGTAATAGCTGTCCACCTTCCCGTTCTCACTCTCTCCACGACTCTTTCTCCTCCTTGTTGTTGTTGAGGCCACAGCTGAACTGATCGTGATCCAGGTCACAGACCAAATATTGATCTGTAATCTGCAGGGCTCAGGGAAAATAATCAAACTCCGAACTATTGATCGCTGTCTTTGATGTGAGCTCGACGTGTCACATTTTCTCTCTTCAGAGAGCGACAGTCGACTGATCTCTAGACTGTGTGTGTGTGTGTGTGTGTGTGTGTGTGTGTGTGTGTGTGTGTGTGTGTGTGTGTGTGTGTGTGCTAACTGTGAACACACTCACACAGTGATGAAGCAGCAGAGTCAGATTAATCTGACATGAGGAGAGAGCAGCAACATCGTTGTTATCCTGCACATCCACACATGTAGAGTCACTCAGGTGTAGTCTAGTCTCTGATATATATGTAGAGTCACTCAGGTGTAATAATAATAATAATACATTTTATTTAA